CTTCAGGCCTGAGAGTCTTTGGTCAGACTCAGGTTTATTTCTGTAAGGGAACAAGTTGAGGCTTAAACTGGAGATGGAGTTAGATTCAGCTCAGGACTTCAGGATAAGTCTGGATTTGTTTAAGTCACTTTGATGGAATACGTCCCTGGACTTGTGTTTTATTTCATTCACATGTTTAACACACAAACCCTGCACATTGAGGTGGAGTTCTTTATTCAATCTGAAAACACCACACATGTTCCACCTTGTGACGTGAAGTGGTGATACAGGAAGTGCTCCACCACGTTTTTAAACATGCATACATTTTCAGTAGAGTCATTTTAATCATTTCGGCCATGGAATTGTCAAACTTTGTAGCTGTTGGCCTTGTCTTTGCTTCTCTGTGCACCGGAAGACATTGTAGACTTTCTGTGGTAATCTCAAGTTTACAAAGGGGAAAATGAAATATTTCTAGAAATTTAGGCTGCAGATAGCTGTTAACTTTAAAACGACCACTTAATGACATCACAAGGTGGAACAGAGCATTTTGAGCTTTGGAGATGTAGATAGACTAATAATAAACAGTTACTCAAACATGTGAATGAAACAAAACACAACTCCAGGTCTGTTTTTGATGATGTAACATTATTACCTCAGCCAAGGAGGTTATGTTTTTGCCGGCGTTTGTCTGTTTGTTTGTTTGTTTGTTTGTTTGTTTGTTTGTCTGTTAGCAACATAACTCAAAAAGTTATGGACCGATTTTGATGAAATTTTCAGGATTTGTTGGAAATGTGAAAAGGAAGAACTGATTTCATTTTGGGGGTGATCTGGAAGAAATCCTGGATTCTGGATCACTTTGAAATTTTAGTTAACATTGTGGTAAATGGGGCCAAAAATTTTGTTTCTCAATATCTGGGTTAATTATTGACCAAACCCCATGAAATTTGACTCAGGGATGGACAATGGGATCCTCTTTCATATTCCAAAGGCTGATCCGGATCTGATCCAGAAGACTGATTTTATCGCAATTTATATAAAAAATGGGGGTAGTCCTTGGCGGAGGTCTGCGCTCTCTGCTTTTCCGCTTTTCTAGTTATATGTCTTAAATCTCACAAGAGTCCATTCTGGATAATTTAGGATCTTTAAACCAGAGTTTATTCTGTCACAAATATTTCCTCCTCTTGAGTTCCTTCTTGATTCATGCAGTGTCATGTCTTTAAAAATACTTGTAACTGAGTCATTGATTTTGTGACACACTCTACATTTCAGAACTTAACAGTCCAGAACATTTCCAAATACAGATGCAGGGGTGAGTTGAGAAATGTTTTAATTGTAATTTTTAGTAATCTGGACTTTTTTAGTTTTTAAAATCATCATTTATAAGATATTATTGAAGACCAACATATTGTGCCTTATTGACTGTAAAGATCTTATATTGGAAATTCCAGGGCTGGAATTACCCAGATGATCCTAGTGAGGTGTATGGAGTTTATAAAACACAGTTCCGGTTTTCACCCAGACCTCATCTTTGTTCACTTCTCTGTGTGTGCAGTTACAGTTACAAGCTGTTTTAGATCAATATTTGAGTTTGCAAAGGACAAAACGTGCAGTCATGATCAGTCTGTGTATGTTATTGTTATGTCAAGTTAAAATCACGTCCCAGAAGAAAGCACAAGTTCTTTAAGTTTGAAATAACAATCATATCTCAGACTGGTTGGGGTTTGACTTGTTCTAACTCTTCTAGACATTTGTTCTTTGAAGCTCTTTGCAAACACACCATTAAAACCACTACAGACAACAAGAGCTTCTGAGGAAACAGACCACAAGAGTCTGTGTATAGATCATGTGACGTGAACGCTGAGACGAACAGTAACTGAGCGTCAGGTAGAAGAATGACACATATAGACACTCTTAATGTTTTAGAACAGAATATTTGAGGATATATGATCTGGTTTGTGCAAAAGACTTAGACACAAGGACCAATTTAAATTTAACTACAACTTTGTATTAAATCTTCTTCTTGTCAGGAGCAGGACGTGCACTCCCTCCATTACGCTGCTCTGAGCCTCCAGCCTTCGTCCAGGAGACAGAGAGTCAGCGCTCACACTGACTGTGTGTACTCTGATGTTCTCCCACACCACTGAACATGGACACAGCACCTTTAGCTCCTCATAAATGATTGGAGTTGGACGGATACTTGTGTTTTCTGCAGCAGATCATAAAGAAGATCAGTGAAACAAAAGCATCATCAGATCATCTGCTGCCATCAGGCTCACACAGTTTAACACTGGAAAAAAACAAAAAACAAAAAAGGCTTAAACCATTTACCACATTTTTTGGACTATAAGTGGCACTTTTTTTCATGGTTTGGGGTTTTTCCTGCAACTTATACTACGGTGCGACTTATATATTCAAATGTTCACCCTGACAGCCTCAAAAGGTTCTAGTCTTGTGTGTGAGTATCTGCTGCTCCTGTTCCTCCTGTACCACTGTCACTTCACTCTACTGCACATGTCTCCTGCAGAAAGAGCCTCTGTCGTGCTGCAAGTCGTGAAATATTCAGCTGAAAATGGTAATCGAGCAGCAGAAAGAAAGTTTGGAGTGAGTGAGAAACTTGTGAGGGACTGGTGGAAAGCAGGGATGGAGAAAACAGCTTCATGGCAACTGGGAGGATGCACCATGAAACTTTCCTGAAGTCACTGGATGGATGGACAAAGTCTGGACTTCAGTGACACTGAAACCATCCTGTCAGGATTCAGAAAGGCCCGAATAATTCTAACTGGAACTGATGCTGATGAAGAATTGAATGGATTTAGTGATTTGGAGTGAGATGGAGAGTTTGGTAAACTTGTTCTGTTGTTTATGTTATAGTTTATCTGAAGAACTGTTCATATGTGACGTTAACAGTCTGTTGTTCTCTCTTCTATTGTTATTACTAGAACTTGACTTTCAACAGCAAAAAAAGGTTTTCTGGTCTCTGATTTTATAAAATAAATTTCCCCCCAAAAGTGTGGCTTATAGTCTGGTGTGACTTATATGTTGTTTTTTTTTTCCTTTATTCATCATTTTCTGGCTGATGTGACCCGAGCGACTTATAGTCCGAAAAATACAGTACTCCTGTAGCTGTTCCATGGTTAAACTCTGGGTTGGTTATCTGTCGCTTCACAGTTCATTTCTAGCTTTTTTGACAATGTGTCCTAGTGCTGTGTTTCTTATTCATCAAACAAGAGACAACAGCTGTATTGCTCTTTAAAATGATAGCATTGTATTTGTGAAAGAGTTCACTGTGTTTGTCATGCTTGTTGTCTGTTTGTTGTGTTGAATTGTTTTTATTGTATGACGCTGCTCAAATGACTCACCCCTGGAGGGATTAATAAAGCTGTTTAAATCTGAATCAGAAAAATATCTTACAATATCTATTTTGACTTGTATTTGTTTCTTCGTGCATGTTTACGTGCTCTGGTATCGTTCTGCATTTGAGACGCGAGTGCTCAGGTTCCACCTCCCCCTTCCTCCTGCCCACAGACCCTGTGCACTGTGGCTCCTGGTAGAGGTTCCATCACCTGCTTGTTATGTTGCCTGGAATGTTCCTGGAATGATTTTTTTTAAAGTATTATACAAAATTGACTCTCGTGAGCTTTAAGCCTTGTTAGAATCCTCATCGTTTTCAAGTGACCAGCTCCTTTTACCTGACGTTCAGTGGAACTTCAGACTGTGAAGTGTGGAGTTTAAAAAAACAGTGGAGCACTTCCTGTATTACCACATGACATCACAAGACAGAGTGTTTTCAGTTTGAGAGAAGAACACAGCCTAAATATACAGGGTTTGTGTTTTCAACATAATACACAAAAACATAAACGTGTGAGTGAAACAAATACAACTCCAGGTGTGTTTCTGATGGAGAATCGACATTCTAATGGAGATTTTTTTAAAAAATAGTGTAATATGTGTCTCATTGATATAGGTCATACTAAAATAAAGTTCACCATAAGCACCTTTAAAGTGAGTTTTTTTTTTTCTTCTTCGTCTTTCTATCTTGGATTCATCTTCCAAAACTTATTATACTTCCATAAGTCTGAGGAGCAACCTGAAGGCGTCTGGTGGACCCAGACGTAATGTCCCAGAGCCGTTCGATCGGAAATAAGTCAGGTGTTTTGAGGGCCATTCAGCTGCATCAATCCCTTCATCCTCCAGGTTCTGTCTGCAGACTCTTGCCACATGTCGTGCATTGTCGTGCATCAGGAGGAACCCAGGACCTACTGTACCAGCGTAGAGTTTGACAGTGGGTTCAAGGATTTCATCTCGATACCTAATGACAGTCAGACTGCAGTTTTCTAGTCTGTAGAGTCTGTGTGTCCCTCCATGGATCTGCCTCCCCAGAACATCATTGACCCACCACCAAACCACTCGTGCTGAACCATGTTACAGGCAGCAGAGCGTTCTCCTTGTCTTCTGCAGACTCTTTCATGTCAGTCACAGGTGCTCAGAGTGAACCTGCTCTCATCTGTGAAAAGCACAGGACACCAGTGGTGAACCTGCCAATTCTGATGTCATCTAGCAAATGCCAATGGAGCTCCACTACAGGACGTGGCCCTCAAGCTACAACCCTGGTCGTTCCTAAAGCCACACAGCTTTGGGACGCTCCTCATTTCAGTTCTGCAGCAGTAAAGTTTATATCTTTAATCTGCAAATGTTTCACTGTTTCATGTTTCTACTCAGTTTCATGTTATGGTTGGTGTGTGAGTGTTTTCTGCTTGTGCTATTTTATTCTGCGTCTTGGCCAGGTCTTCATTGCAAATGAGAGTGTGTTGAATATTGAATAAATAAATAAACATAAATCTTCTTTAAAACCCCACAGAAGTCACATACTCCCTCTTTAAATAAACCCAACAAATCCAACTTTGGCCTCGTTCAGTTTCAAAGTTTTTATTTGAATCAAAGTCAAATTTCAACAGTGACACTGAAGCTCCATTTTGTCTTTTTACTTCTCTTTAACTTTTGTTCTCATTGTTGTGTCCTCATTATGGGACAAGTTTAGTTTCTCTTCTGTTTTGTCTCATCTCTTTCACCAGAGTCACAGAGGAACCTTCATCCCACAGTCCAAACCCAGGAAACAGAGGCTCAGAGAAGGACGAGGAGAAGGTCCAGAGGTGGAACAGTTCTCCGTCAGAGGAGACCTCAAAGAAGGACAGAGCTCCAGCCTCAGAGTCCAGGAACACGCTCACTCTGCCAGAGAACACGCCCCCTTTACTAGAGGACACGCCCCCTTTGTCAGAGGACACAGCCCCTTTGTCACAGGACACGCCCCCTTTACCAGAGCACACGCCCCCTCTCTTTGAGCGACAGGAGCGGTGGAGTTGTGTTATGTTGCTGTTGTGACGGACAAAGTACACTCCATCATCATTGATCCACAAACTCCAGGAGTGATCATTGTATCCGAACTCACACTCCACTCCCCGTCCTCTGCGTCTGATCCCTCTGGAACTCACTGCTATATGAACCCTCCCGCTCCAGTCCACCTCCCAGTAACAGCGCCCCCTCAGACCAGTGCAGCCCAAGACCTGTATCCAGTTTGAGAACCTGTCGTGATGTTCTGGATACTCCTGCTCCTCCTCCACACGTGTCACAGTGCGATGGTCCTCAGACAGAAGCAGAAGCCTGTGAGCTGAGTTCGTGTCCAGAGAGACGTCACAGGAGTCTGAAAAACAAGGAAAAGTAAAGCGAAAACTTGGCTGGATGTCTTCACCACAATGGTCCAATGATCGAAAACTGGGCGAGGTTTGAACCATTTGAAACAGGGTGAAAGACCTGAGCTGTTCTCTGCACTTTACTATATGAAGAAATCAAAACAGACTCACATTTCCTCAAACCTGGAACCATCCAGCGCTCTCCAGCAGGATCCAACCTGAAACAAACAAGTCCAGCTTAGACCAGACCAGGACCAGACCAGAGATCGGCTCAGGACCAGAGACCAGACCAGAGAAAAGATCAGGACCACACCAGAGACCAGACCAGACCAGTACGAGACCAGGATGAGACTAGAGATCAGACTGGGACCAGACCAGAGACCAGACTAGGACCAGGGATGAGACCAGGACCAGACCAGAGACCAGACCAGGACCAGATACCAGAGACCAGAGACCAGAGACCAGACCAGGATCAGGACCAGCCCAGAGACCCGAGCTCTCTCACCTGAAAGAAAACAGGAGGCGGTCTCACCTGACAGATAATAAGGGGTGCTTGTCCCTTAGAGAGGTCAGCAGCTCGGCAAAGGGTCCTGGATTGTTGTAGCTCAGGTCTAACTCGCTGAGGTGGGAGGGGGCGGAGCTCAGAGCTGAGGCCAGAGCAGCCCCGCCCCTCTCTGAGACCAGACATCCAGACAGCCTAAAGACACAGCATTACACTCACGTGGATACAAGGGGACAGAGTGCATCATGGGAGCATCTCACCTGAGCGTCTCCAGTCTGCAGGGGGTGTTCTTCAGTCCAGAACACAGCAGCTCCACTCCTGAGTCCTGGATGTCATTGTGACTGAGATCCAGATGTGTGAGACTGGAGGAGCTGAGGACTGAGGCCAGAGGACCACAGCTGTGAGGAGACAGACCACAGCCACAAAGACTGAGGACAGAGAGGAACATTAGAGACTAGAACCTCCACACAAGAGTTTAAATACAGTCTGAGGAGAGGGACATTAGAGACTAGAACCTCCACACAAGAGTTTAAATACCGTCTGGACTCACAGGGCTTTAGTGGAGGCTCTGACCACCGGCAGCAGACCCAGGAGAGCTCTCTCTGAGGCCTGGTATTTCCTCAGGTCAAACTCCTCCAGGTCTGAGTCTGAGGACAGTAAGACGTAGGACAGAGCCGACCACTGAGCAGGAGACATGGTTCCATCAGAGAGATATCTTCTCATGTTCTTCTGTATCTCCTGCACCAGACTGCCATCGTTCAGCTCGTTCAGACAGTGAAGCAGGTTCAGACTTCTCTCTGCAGACACTTTCTTTTCATCCAGCTTCTGTTTGATGTACTTTACTGTCTCCTGATTGGTCTCTGATGTACTTCCTGTGTGAGTCAGCAGACCCTGCAGCAGTCTCTGATTGGTCGGCAGAGACAGCCCCAAGAGGAAGCGCAGGAATAGGTCCAGGTGTCCGTTTGGACTCTGTAAGGCCTGGTCCACAGCAGAGCGGTAGAAGACAGCCTCAGGGTTTGGATTCTCAGAGCAGTGTGGTGGTTCCAGCAGGTTCTCTCCAGAGCTGTAGAAGGTCTGATGGACGTGAAGAGCAGCTAGAAACTCCTGCACACTCAGATGGATAAAGCAGTAGACCTTGTCCTGGTACAGGCCTGGCTCCTCTCTAAAGACCTGTGTGAACACTCCAGAGTACACTGAGGCCGCTGCAGCGTCCAGCCCACTCTCGCTCAGGTCACTCTCGTAGAAGATCAGGTTTCCTTTTTGCAGCTGCTCAAAGGACAGTTTTCCTAGAGACTCCACAATCTCCCTGTTTTTTTGAGTCCAGTGAAGGTCCGCCCCTGATCCTTGGTGATACTTGATGTTCTGGACTTTGGCCTGCACCACCAGGAAGTGGACGTACATCTGTGTGAGAGTCCGGGGCAGCTCTGGTTCCTCTGTTTGTTCCAGAAGCTTCTGTAGAACTGTGGAAAGGATCCAGCAGAAGATCGGCATGTGGCTCATGATGTGGAGGCTGCGGATGCTCTTGATATGGGAGATGACGACTGTGGCCTGGTCTCTGAACCTCTTCCTGAAGTACTGCTCCTTCTGCGGGTTGGTGAACCCTCGCACCTCTGTCACCATTGAGACACACTCAGCAGGGACCTGACTGGCTGCGGCGGGTCGCGTGGTTATCCAGAGGCGAGCGGAGGGAAGCAGGTTCCCCCTGATGAGGTTCACCAGCAGTACTTGCACTGAGGCGGACTCTGTGGGGTCGGTCAGGACTCGGGTTCGGCTGAAGTCCAGAGGAAGTCTGCACTCGTCCAGACCGTCAAAGATGAAGAGCACCTGCAGCTGTTGGAAGCAGCAGAGATCTTTGGATGGACTGAAGAATTGGTGCAGCAGCTTGACCAGGCTGAACTGCGTGTCTCTGAGCACGTTCAGGTCTCTGAAAGTGAACGGGAACAGCAGCTGGAGGTCCTGGTGGGCCCGGCCTTCAGCCCAGTCCAGACAGAACTTCTGAGTCAGCACTGTTTTCCCCACGCCGGCCACGCCCTTCGTCAGCACTAATCTGATTGGCTGTGGTGAATGTGGACGGGGTTTAAAGAGCTCTTCACATGTGATGGTCTCTGGAGCGGCCGCTCTCCTGGACGCCGTCTCCACGTGTCTGACCTCATGTTCCTGGTTGACCTCTGAGGCTCCGCCCTCTGTGATGTAGAGCTCTGTGTAGATCTGGGTCAGGGGGGCAGAGTCTCCTGCTTTAGCCACACCCTCAAACACATGACTGAACCTCTGCTGCAGATCACACTTCAGTTTATCTCTGAATCCCACTTTACTCCCTTTAAACAACACACAAGATTTAGACTGTGAAACATGCCCAATATTTCATATGGAAGGGCATCTGACACACAGGGATACAGGAGAATGGGAGGGCATCTGGAGGTTCTTACTGTTGAGCAGGCGCCGGGCCAGATGTTCCTGGTCCATCCTCTTCAGGAAGTCCAGGGTGATGTTCAGAACTTCTCTGCTCTCCTCCTCCTCACTCTCAGAGCATTCTGGGTAATCTGAGGCCAGGAGCCTGAAGAGCCTCTGCAGCTGCTGTTGGACAAACCTCAGGACCTGCTCCTCCAGAACCTGGAACCACAAAGTACATTTTTTAAAATTTTTTTGTTGTTTTTTTTTGTGGTATTTAGTGTTAAACTAAAACATACATAAAGCTGCACTTTACATTTAGAGTGTAACCTTTACATTTAGAACAAACAACATCATCACAAGCAGCTGATTCATTTACACGTGGACGCGTGTGGATGTGTGTATGTGTGTGTGTGTGTATGTGTATGTGTGTGTGAGTGTGTTCACAGGACAAACCTGCAAAATGGAGTTCAGCTCCACCTGAGGATCCTGACCAATGGAAACGCTCAGATCCTCATTTCTGTCAACCAATAAAAACAGAGTCCTGTTTAGTCCTGGTTCAGTCCTGCTTTAATCCTGGTTTAGTCCTGCTTTAATGTTGGTTCAGTCCTGCTTTAATCCTGGTTTAGTCCCGGTTTAGTCCGTACCTCTGATGTGAGTCTTTAAAGTCTATGATCCAGTCTTTGGAGCGGTCACTTGTCAGAGACTCTGCGGCAGGTCCATAGGGGGCGCTGTGGTCTCTGCGGGACAT